TGTCGACTGATATGAGAGAGAGAGAGGGAGAGAGAAGAGAGGAGAGAGGATGAGAACGAGAGAGAGAGGACTGAGAGAGAGAGGATGAGAGATAGGGAGAGAGAGATGGAGAAAGATACAATTGAGATAGGGAGAGAGAGAGAGGCTGCGGATGAGAAGGATAGACGGGCAAGCATGTGTGCTTAACATTGTATATTTACGCGGCACTCAAGGGCAGATGCGTCCGTAACCTGACTTCACTATAGTGAGTAGCAGTGTAGTACTAGTAGCAGCCACGCCCACAGAACATCCACAGCACAGGCACTTCGAACGTTTCAATAAAAAAAAAGAATTACTCTCTTATTCATGTTGTTTGTGCACATCATGACATGGCGGGCGTGCGGTGTACCGGTAGGCCTACTTGTGTGTTGCAGATGACCATTTGACCGGCATTTACAGGTGATTTACTGTTTTATAGGCGAAATAGAGTAGAGAAACATTAAGATATTGGTAGTAAATACATTTCGTGCTTATTTACCATTTTTTTTTTTTATTGAGACGTTCCAAGTCAAGTGCCTGTGCTGTGAGTCTGTGACTGTGAGCCACAGCCACAAGGTCGATGTATTGTAAAATGTAAATGTAATGACCCACCGACTCCAGGATTCTGCGGATTCCTTCTCTCGGTGCATCGGGATAGTTAGTTGGATCTTCAGAAAGGAGCTTAGTTACGACTACTCTTCCTTGCGGGCATTCCGCATACACATCCGTAAATGTACCACCCCTGTCAATAGCAAACTTGAACTTTCCTTTCGATATTAACACTACAGGTGCCATACTTTCTGTGTACAGTGTTTACTTATAGGTTTACTCAAACTCCACGACAGATGGCGCTCTCGCTCATGGGCTCATGTCACTGAGTAGTAGGTCTCAGGGGAGAGATAGTGAATATATAAATAAGTTGTGGATATAGAAATCAGTTCACCCTAACCCTAACCCTAACCCTAACCCTAATCCTAACCCTAACCCTAACCCTATCCCTAATTCTAAAATAAAAGAGTGTACGAAGGGGCACTGCATGCAGTTTGAGTAGGGGCTATACGCGCGTGTCCAAAACGCGAGGGTGCGCGCGCGCGTGTTATATATATAATAATTATGTGTACACATGCTGTATATAAATAAATAAATATATATATATATATATATATATATTCATATACATATAATAGTATATATATCAAGAGTTAATAGAAACAAATTTTTAATTCAGTTCTTGCATTATTATACTACAATGCAGACAACACACACGCCACACAGTCATATTAGACCCGCGGCCCGCGGAGACGTAGGTAGATACGTATGCATATGACAAGTGATTTAGGGCGCTGAACTGAGTGACCATATTATTCTGTTGGGCCAGCAATGCGCATCGTAAGCATAGAAATGCCATCATGCGGTTGTAGGGATCGAATGATGCATGGGATCACTATATAGAGAATATCAAGAGTACATAATAGAGTAATCTCTATTATGTACTCCTGATAATATATATTATGCGTTCGTTCATAACAGCACTCATATGTGCTGCTGCATAAATGTGTATTGTATTATAATTTTTGACCGTCAAAATGGCTTGCTCCTTCCAGCAGAGACCACTTAATTAAATGCCCGAGATAGTTTTATCGCGTAGTCCAGACGCACGCGCATATATACGCATGCACCCACCTTCGCACGGAATCGTAGCCTACTATATGCACGATGTCCACAATATGCAATACCGGTAGGCCTACGCATGCAGTTATTCCTGTTATAAGGACAGGGTGCTTGAAGGAGTAAACACGTTATTACGTGTAATGAGGCGTTTTAGGTCAGCACGAATCCGCGTAAATTCATTATTTCCAGCCCGGGCCGTTGCGTAGGCTGAGCAAATACATAGGAGCGGGAGGCAAAATTTTATGACTCAACTGTGTAATGATGAGCGACGGGCGCAGCTCTTGATCGACGTCGTGTAGTAGGGGTGGGTCTAAGACATGGCTTTCACGGATAAGTGACCAAAAAATCATGTTAGGATTATTTACGATTATTAACTAAGCTTATTTTTTTAATTTTGCTCCAAACTCTAGGGGGTCAGCTGCTCCCTTGCCCGGGCCCCCCACAAGCTACGGCCCTGCCAGCTGATATTGTAGCAAACGCGCAATCGCCTCATATATATCGTGTGTAACCTGGTACCAGCTTGTGTGCGCACGTTAATAGCGTTTGCGCGCGCCGATTTGCTGTATAATAACATATACATGTATAACATGCTGTATCAAGTATCAACCCATGTGTAATTTTGTTGAAGTTGAGTTTTATTTATACCATTAAAGATAAATACAAATATACAAAAATAATAAAATAATACAACCCTCTTACATGAAATCCTGAACCCGCGTAGTGAATAGCGTATAATAGAGAATATAGCTGTGCGTCAAATATGGATAATATACCGTAATATGGTGTGAGCAGTAGGTATGAGTAGGTATGAGTGGTATATGAGTAGGTATGAGTAGTTATGAGTAGGTATGAGTAGTAACACTATAAAGAAGCATCAAGGTCAACATTGGTTTTTTAAGCAATTTAGTTTACTTTTACAACAAGTGCTGCAGAGCGACAGTGCTCAACTGACATGTACTGTAGCCAGGTATTCTTCTGAAAGTGGGGGGAGGGGCGGGTGGAGGGGGCTTTAATAGCAAAAGCAGTTCAGGCCATCCTTAAAAAATTCTATGTTTGCTGTCCTCCGACCGACCCACGAAAATAGCCGCGACCCAAGTTTTTTTTTACATTTAGGGTTCCATTTTTTTAACTTTTTTTTTACATTCCTCCTATACCTTAAGTTAATGGGGAAATATTCCCCCTCCATTGACACATCTTGACCTTTTACCCTTGACCACCAAATTCGACATCCCGGGTCTTTTTCGCGATCCCCCCCCCCGACGTCCTAAATATCAAGACCGTACGGGGAGCGGTTACGATTTGTGCCCAACTGTTGACGGACGGACGGACGGACGAACGGACGGACGGACAATCATGCGATTCTACAAGCTCCATCTGACTTCGTCAGCTGAGCTAAAAACCATGTAATGAGGAACAAATGAAAGAAAGTTGCCAAAAAGTTTAGCTCATGAACTGTGATTTTCTGACGCCACACACCCAACATAGCCACCTAGCTTATACTACGTATTTACTAGAAGAAATGCAACCCATGCACTTAAACTCAGTGCCACTGATCTTGATCTAAATTGGGGTATTCTTATACATTAACTGTTTTTAATTGGTGTTGGGAGGCAGAGGGCATACTGGGCATAGCTACAATGGTGGAAGCAGAGACACTATAACTCTACATAGCATTAGTTCCTAGTGCATGGTGTACTGTTTATAATTAAAATTTCGATGGCAGGGTAAATGCCTCAGCTTTGGAGCAATGCCAGCTAACATACAAGCAATTTCGCTGTGCCAGCGTTGGTTAGTGCAAGGCAGTGGATGGTAAACTACAAAGTTCATGGTAATTGGTATACATAAATGAGATATAGATATTTTTTTAAGTTTGTGCACAGTGGTGTACTGTGGTGATACACTGATAGTGTATCATAGAGCAATTATTTTAAAGGTGCGTACGTTGAGTTATTGGGCAATATAGAGTACGTAGACATCAAAACTTTGTTGGTAAATTTAATTCACGTTTATTTACTATCACTTTATTATTGACACAACTCCATTTACCAATTTTCACATGATCAAATTCTATACATACTAACCCCATAATGTATGTAGTGGAAGGACTGACCCACAGGCACTTGAAACGTTTCAATAATAAAATGATGATAAAAAACACGAATTGTATTTACTACCAGTCTTAACGTTTCTTTACTCTCTTTCGCCCA